CCCGACCCTGTAAAGAAACAGTGGAGAAAGAAATAAAGCAAAGCAGTCTGTTGGCCGGAGAGGCTTCTTTGTAGCCCCCTATTGCTCAGAACTTTAATTAGATGGTTGTGGTTCTCAAATAAAGAAACACGACTTATGTCTAGACAAGACAGAATCAGTTAGTGATATCAGCAGCTATAATTACCAGGAAGAACGATTTAGATAATGTACTTGTTTGCCTTGTTTAAAGGTGGAGATGAACCCACTTTGCCAGCAGAAGGAGCTGAAGGAATTCTGCGAGGCCAAGGGCGTTCATGTTTCTGCCCATTCCCCTCTGGGCTCAAATGGCACAATATGGGGAGATAACAGGATTCTCGACTGTGATGCTTTGAAAGAGATTGCAGAGTCTATAGGGAAAACAACTGCCCAGGTTGCCTTTTCCTTTGCCTTTTTAATCATTGGAAAAACCATTTTAATTTTCATGCATCTTCCAGCAGGAGTTGTACTAGTATTTTTGTTATTGACATATCTACACATAGCAGATTGCTTTAAGATGGGCGTACGAGCAAGGGGCAAGTGTGATAACAAAGAGCTTCAACAAGGACAGAATGAAGGAGAACCTTGAAATATTGGATTGGTCATTGAGTATGGAAGACTTGGACAAGATCAATGGCCTTCCTCGGCGCAAAGGCAGCGCCCGTAGTCCAATTTTTGAGCTCAGTAAAGAGCTTGAAGCAGAGCTATGAGATAAACATATCCAAAAGATGTGTAAAGGTCATATATTAAATATTTTCATGCTTAAAATTTATATCTGCTATGCATGCTAAGGGTTTAGTTCCTTTTTGAAAGTTTTCGCCAAGGTGTTATTCGCATCAATATTATATATATAAATGTAGAAATGGGATTTGAATGCATCCTATATGTCAATCTTTATATAGTCAACATAATAAAATCGTTGGTAAAAGAAAAGCAGATTTCTGCATCATCAAGTCAAGGGACTAGAAGGACCTTTTTTCCTGTTAAAGAGGTATAAAAGTGTCAGCATTCTACAGTCTGTCTCATGGTTACATACAACCCAAATATTAATCAACATATGATGCCTAAAAGTTATCCGATGCCTATGCCACTCACATGCCGGATCTCACAGATCTCTCCTTGGGCGTAATCAAAGCGTGCCTCATTTGCTAGCTGACAATTAAGGTTCCTCTTCCAAGCTAATTTCTAACAAAAATCATAGACTTTTTCTATGACAGAATTGATGGAAATGGCGAGGACAATTAAACCTGCTACTCGTACTTGATAGAACTGTATATGTGATGAACAAAGTGTAGCGAGGCACGAAAACCCACTGTCCCAAGCATGAGGAAGAATCCATAGCTGATGCAGGCCATATAAACAAAGAAGAATGAGGTCTGCATAAAACCAGACATATCTGATCGTGCATAGTAATAATACAGGCAGTAGGCATAGATAAAGAGACCAGTTGATCCACCACAGAGGAAAGACCTGTAACAAAATAAGGACTCAGATCAGTAAAATGAAACAATACAACACTTAAATGTCATTCAAATCCACAGCCTCAACTAAATTTAAACTGAATGAGAAAAAAGTTGAAATCAAACAGGTTAAACAACCCAAAAATTATGAGGTAAAGAACAAAGGAACCAACCCCAAGTTACCATAAGTCTATTACCAAAATCCATGTGAATTTTTAGTAAATTGATGATCTAAAAATAAGTGAAGTTACACTTTTAATCTAGCAGACGTATATATCAACTAACCTTTAGATAGACCAGTGGCATAAAAAACTGTAATAGAATTAAGGGTTTTACTTCTCTTCATGCTTTTTATACATTCCTAATTAAACACAAGCTGATAAATTCTCAGGGAATTGCTAACCAGCATTCAATTTTCCTTTATAGAAAACATATACTAACCAAATATAGCCAATTTCTTTCGACAATTCTTAATTACATATGATATCTATCAAAAGGCATGAGAATTTACTTGTCAGTTGTCCAGAACCACAAACCAGTACAGCAGCAGGGGAAGGTGAGTTATAGTATGAAATTCCAAATTTAATAATATTTCAAAGGTGCAAGGTAAAAAGCAATGTCGAGATGAAGACAGAATTAGAGATTTTCTGTACCTCCACCACCATTCATGATCTTCAGCAGCAAGTTGGAAATATGTCAAAGCCACAGTTATAGAAGCAGTGACAATCAGAAGGATGATGAAGACAATAAAAAAGATGATGTATATGGTATAGATCCTGTGGCCCCAGACACTGGCAAATATGTAGTAAAGCTCTATGTATATAGCACTAAATGGAAGAAATCCAGCCATTGCCATCTGAGGGATGGCACTCCTGTACCAAGGAGGTGGAGGAATCTCTTGAGGATACTCTGTGGTGCGGCAAGGAGCTTGGAACTCAGCCTTGCTATTTTTGCCAGCAATACCACCCAGAACAAGCCATGGAGATGTCACTAGTGTCCATATGAGGACTATTACTACAATAGTTCCAAAAGGCAGTGTGGCAGTTGCACTATATGCAATAACAACCTTGTAAAGGAAGCAGAATGTAAGAAACAAGGGTCCACAGAAAAGGCAGCCAATCAATAACAGATTCCTAACCTGTAAATCCGAGAAATCATATAAATAAATTGGTCCATTTAGAAGCCAGCCTTTTAGAAGCATCACATTGACATTTCATGCTAGCAGCAGACAAGATCCATCAATACATACCCAGTTATTTCCTTCGAACTGACAGTAGAAAGAAGTTGTTGTGTAACCTGCAATTCCTGACGTGAGTGCATATATGACCACCATGGCAGTAAACAGAGCTCCTCGGTTGTATGGATAAAAGACACCGACCAGCGCAAGCATAAAAATGAAAACCGTTCTGATAAACATAAAAAGGTTCAAAAAAAGTTAGAGAGAGGAACATCAATAATTGACATAGAGATCACAATATAATGACTATAGTTTCACCAAAACTGAAAGAAACATAAATACATAATAAGTGTGATCCTTACAAAGTGAACAACTGTGTTCCAGATCCAAGAGCAGCAGCAAGCAAAGATTTGTACTTTGGGAACCGGAATACATCTCCATGAATATACTTCCATCCAGTCTCTTCTTGGTCATCAGCGGATTCTTCATCTTGACCATACCTTTCATAACAAACCAAACATTTATGGCAACCACCAACAAAAATGGAAGAAGTAAAAATATGAGAAAAATAGACAAATAGATTTAATAGATCTCACTTAGTGAAATCATTCTTCAAGACCCGCATGAGAATTGTTGCAGGAAACCGGTCAAAAGGAGAACTGTCACACAAGAGTTGATAATCGAAAACCAATGAATCTCCAAATGATGTGGCAAAGAAGACGACATGGAGTACTTCTCCATCCTCTTCTCGAAAGGAGTATTGGTTTCCTTCCATTTCACAGTATACATAAACTCATCATCATCCTCCTTATCCTTAGTCAAATCCACGATCGAATGAAGATCCATACTTGCACTAATCTCAATAATGCGATCCTTGTTATAAAGAACATCGAACTGGATATGTTTGTAAAGGAAATACTGGTACTCGCTGGGATCAGCTTTTCCTTCCTTATAAACTTTGCCAATAAAACCCCATATAGGCAGATCATCGTAGTACATTTGGAAATAATAATCCTTGTCGACCGCCTTTCGGAAAATGGCAACCTCATCTTTCGAAAGCTTCTTCTTACAAACAACAGCAGAATCTTTTTCCTCTCTAAAATTCAGTTTATAAGGACCACTCACGAGTCTATCTCCATTCAACACCTCACCTAATGCTTCTTTTTTCTCCTTTACATGATCTAAATTCCATGCAAAAATCAACACATTGTTCTTGTAGACACCCTATTTCGTCTCGGGTGATCCTCGATCTCAATTACTTAGAATTGGGCTTTAGGCCCATTCGATTTTGGATTTAAGTTCTGGACTTGCTTGGACTTTAGACCCAAAATACTTGTAATTGTCTGCCTCACTTCAGGAGATAGATCATTATTTGAATTGAAATTGGAGGATAAAGTTGTTGGGCTCAAAATTGAAATTAAGGGAGATAAAGGATGAAATTTCTTTGGATCGGATAACGTTTTAATTTTGAATTTCATGGAGGCTGGATGCTTATTTAAGCAACAGCAATTACATTGCAAAGGAGGGGCGAAAAACAGATTACAGGAGTCACAAAGAAAAATTCCCCTCATCCCGCTGCCATTTTGCTTGAGCACACCCCAAAGTCCATCAGCCAACTTGCTAGAACCACGAACCATCTTTACCTTCACCACCACTTTTGCCACAAAAACCCAACGAGTGTACTACCAAACCAGCAACAATTCCAGAATTCAAGAAGCACAAACACACAAACACATTGCCACTCCTAAACGCAACAGCAATCGAGAAGCCAGGACACTATCGACATACACAGTTACCTCATTCATCCATCATCATCCTATTCTTGCTGCAAAAACTTGGGTACCAGGAATACTGCTCGCACTCCACTTGCATAGCCACCCATATTTAATTGCGACAGTCATAGCCTTATCCTGCAAACACAAGCAAATTGGTAGGCAATTCCGACAAAGAAGGCTGCATTCTCAAACTGCAGTCCGCCACCTAATCACTACCCTATTGCTAAACTAAAAATTATCCATAGCTTCCACCAAATTCACCTTCTCCTGACACACAAATCCAATGAATTCACCGACATCCAATACAGCCACCCACTGTTAAAGTTTAACCACCTGAGCCATCTCCATTTCCGGTCGCCACTGGACAGCTAAACTCAGAGTCACACAAGTAATCCAAAAAAAGGGAAACAGAGGAGAGACTTTCTCCCTAATATTCCCAATCAAGGTCGATCTAGCTTGTTTTGGAGCTTCAAAATTGGTGAGGCGGCAACCAAAGAAAATGTGAACAACATACCCAGAGGCAGCCGCATTAGACCAGTAGAGAGGAAGGGAGACTGCGATTTTGATTTCGGATCTACACCAATTCCGGGATTTTTTGGAAATTCCAGCTACAATACGTGAAAGAGAAGGCCAAGGCTAGTTCGGCGGAAGGTTTGAAAGCAAACTGGTAATTGGATGATGATCGGGGAGCGGCGGTCAACGGATGTCAGCGACGGCGACCAGTGATGGCGGCGTGGGGCGACATTGGCACCAGAATCTGGAAACCTTTGGGACTTTGCAGCTGTGTATTTCTAAAAACTAAAAGGGGCAGCAACTAGGGATGGCATCGAGTCGGGTTCGGGGCGGGTTTTGCTCGCCCCGAACCCGACCCGATTTATGCTATCCTAAACTCAAATCCGACTCGACTTGAATTTTTAAATATCCGAATCCGATCCGACCCCATATTATGTAAATCGTATCCGATCCGAATCGAAATTAATAAAATATTATTTTTTAAAATATAAAATATTATTTTTTAAATATAAATATTTAAAAATATCATTATATAAATATATATAAATAATTAATTAATTAATTAAAAAAATAATTTTTTAATAATATCGGGTCGGGTAGGGTCGGGTTTTAGGCATACCCGAATCTAATTTGACTCTGACTGTACCTAATTTTACCCGACCCGACCCCGACACGAAATCCGAAATTCAAAAAAAAAAATCCGACCCTATAGGGTCGGGTCGGGCCGAAACCCGTCGAGGACGGGCTTGATTGCCGTCCCTAGCAGCAACTGGAAATTAGATGGTGGCAACAGATCTTTGTGCTTTTATATTTGCATGAAACAACGCCGTTTGGTTTGCTAAAAATTCAATTGACCTGTGTGTTTTTGTTAACCCGGCCTGTGTTCCATTGACACCCGAGCCGCTAGCCTACATCTTCAAGTGAAGCTTGAGCCACAAGCTGAACAGTTTCTTGTGTGTAAAGTCGAGTCATGATCTTGAGTCGAGCCGTGATTTATTTTGATATTTATTTTATTATTTTATTTATATATTATTTTTTTGAGTGAATTTAAAAAATAAAAATAAAATGATAAAATCTCAAAAAAAATTATTTTATAAAAAAAT